AGAAGGTCCTTCCGGTCCTTTTCTTATTTATCCCAGTTTCTTGAATATTTAATGGAAAATGGCGATCTGCTTGCAGTCGTACGGTATTTTCTGCCTCTTCACTATTCAAACTGTACTTATCATATGCGTCTCCACGCCGACGGACGGGACCCACCTCTTCCCCCAGCACTACACGTAAGTACCTCGCACCGTTTTGGGGATAAGCCGGGGTGCGGAGCGCGGAACTAGGACAGGTGGCCCCGACGAGCCTGCACAGCGCCGTTTACCTTGGCGTGTGTGACAGGACCCGCTGTCCCTGATGTTCAAACAGACGCAGCTTCTGTCTCTGATGCTGCGTTATGAATTTGGCTCTCATATATCCTGTGTTGTCGTTTTTGTTTTTATGGACAGTGACATTTAATACCCCAAAGCTCTCTTAATTTGTCAGACTCAACACAGAAACGGGCTACAGGGAGCGTGCGCAGGTGCCACAGGCGGCTGACCCAGCCCAGCAGTGGGCTAATCTGTTAGACCATCAGGGATAAAAATAACTAATAATACTTGTGCTGGTGTTTTGCTGTCACTGCATGGGGGACATAGCCCATTTAGGCATGATGGATAGACGGAGCTGAATGTGCTCCACTGGATAGTGCACACGCACCGTGAAAATAATTAGGTCCGTGCCACAGCAGGGCACACTGGTGTTTTTTTTTAAGCGAATACTTTTAATTCGGAAACTAAACCAGGTAATGCCACAGGAGCACCAGGTCTTTCAAGCTTTGGGTCAAGTCCGTGCGTCTCGGATCGTTTCTCACACAAACTACAACACCACAGTAACAATTTGGCGTCATCCAAGTGAGAGAAGGCATAGAAGAATAGCTGAACATCTGTGTGTAGACTAGGGACTGTTATACTTTCTCAGTGTGCACCTCCTGGGAATAGTGGGAAACAGTTTAGCTATATTTGAATGTAAAGCATAATTTGTATTCTTATGCAGTTCTATTAACAGTTTCACCTCAAATGATAAACGGAGGGAACAGAAACATTGTAATGTCTGCCCTTGTCTGAGCAGATAAAAATAAGATGATCAGTCCAGCTCTGGTCATATAGTTTTTTTTTTTTTTAATCAAGCCATCTCTTGGGTTTTCCAAACTAGGTTTTATGTCACCCACATCTCTGTGCTATTTGATAGTTACCTAACTGTAAAAAGTGCATGGGAGCTCCTGACACAGTTTACCGGGTGTATAGGCCTGAAACACACACTTGTTAAAGGTCGAAGTGCCAGTAACAGAAGAGGTGTGTCCATAAGAACAGACAGAATCTCTGCTAGTTTATTTTGATATCGGGGCCAAGAGTATTCTAAACCTTGCTGCCTGGCAGGATGGTCGGATTGTGCTATAGTTGATATATATGTACATGATTTTTATGTATATTGTAGTGTATGGTTATGGTAAAGGTTACACAAATGGTGATGAGGGTCAGGGTAGGTCTCCAGGAAATGAAGGTAATGTCCTCTGAGGTGATGGAAACACAACTGTGTGTGAGAGAGGATGGAAATTATTTCCACATTACAAAATTATGTGAGAGAAACCTGTTCTGATAAGTGCTATCTAAATGGACAGCTGTACAATCTTCCCTAGGTAAAATAGCATCACTTACCACCATCTATATGAAACTCAGAGCAATTTCACTTAAATTCAGTTATTTCCAGACACGCTGCAATAGCCCACCTTTTGCCCTTAGACATTTCAGAATTACACTTGGAATGAGGAGATCCATTGCAGCAGAATAAGCACAGTGTGTGGTTGACACACAGATCACCCATCAAACCCATTTCACCACATTTGCTGCTTTTCCATGATGTTTGTCTAACATGGGTCTTAATACATGGAAAATACATCAAAAACAAGACAAATGGCAGATTTTAATACTGCATCCAACTGCAAAGAGCCAGGGAGCATCACTTTGCTTTCATGTTGATGACAACTTTTCTGTTTTTAAGAGAAGTCTCGGCTTGCACATCAGAGAGGATCTCAAAGCATTCACTGAACATTAGGCCTCAGTAGTGCAGATAATTTACCAAACAAGCACAGCCTGCTGTATTCAGTAGTTGTTACTGAATGGAGTGTTCTCCATACTTGGGACTGTGCAATATTTTTCTCCTTTGATTTACACTCAGTCCAACATGAATCTGAAATCATTGCTCAGCCTGTTATAGCGGAGCACTGTGCCTTTAAATGTTAGGTCAGCTTCACGTGAGCCAGTGGGATGCAGGTCAGTTGTGTTAAGGCTGCATCTCCTACCTGTCAGCAAATTCTGGATATCAGTCTTTATATGCAAATTAGTTATTGATTACACTTGATGGAAAATGAAATTAATTTAGAAAAATTTAAGCACCAAGAAGGATTGACAATGCTAACGTGAGCATCCGTCTGTAATGCTTTCATCATGATATAAAACAAAGTATTGCCAGAGCTTTGGTACCTGATGTTGTAATATATTTTTAATGTTGTCTCCATGATTTCACCTGTCTAATTAATAGTCCACATTTTGCCATGTTAGATATTTCTTACAGTGTTCCTGAAATTACAAGATCCATTACAGCAGGGCAGACACAATGGAGAAGCATGGCTGACACACAGGTCGTCACAACTCATTGATTTCCTTGATCACATTGATTGGGGTGAATAGAAATTAATGTTGCAGTAACTTACCACTTTTTATTATCTTGATAGTATATTTTGATATTGACTATTCAAATATTTCATTTAAAAATCCCATTTGAATTCCAGATTTTTGCTCATCCCATTGTGCTTAAATATTTGTATTCATGTTCATAAAATATTTATTTTATATATATATAATCACCTGACCATAGTTTAGATTAAATATGTGAATTACATGAAACCAGCAGTAGTCATTCCCAAATTATCTTTATCAATATACGACACAGCGTACTGTAGGTCCTCTTACTGCATGCCATTCTCTGTCTGTGTGAGTGGGTGTAGACTAATGAAGTTGCATAAGAAGTCTGCCTGGCTCGGGGACAGAGGTAGTGTCCCTCAATGTTAGTATCACTGCGTCCTGCTCGGCTCTCTCACTGTAAGCCTGTTTTCATTTCATATCGAGGTGACCTTTTCGTAGTCGGTCTCTCCCCAGTGATCTCGCTCTGCACAGTCCTCTCAGAGACCCCCTTTCTCCTAATTTTGCCCCTATAAACGTACCCAGCGCGCACATGGCTGGTGTGCTGTTACTATCCCCACGAGGCTTGCTCCGGCTTAGTGATTATGGCAAGTGATGTCACTGCTAGGCAGATTTTGTGCACTTTAATAAGTCTGTCTTTCCTCTTGTCTTCTGAGCAAATCTGACATTTAACGATGACATTTGTCTCCGTCATCATATTAAAGACAAATGAATCTGTTGTGTTGTGCTGTTGATGGTAATGATAAGTTATCTGCAAGCTGCTGAAAGGAAAAGGTTGGCACAGAATCAGTGGTTGGCTGGCAAGCACATGACAGAATTTATCTGATTGATGAAAGATGAGGTTTCATTAGTTTTTTTTTTTTTTTTTTTCCCCCCTATGGAGAATTTCCATTTGTGTGTAAGCAGTACTGAAGTAGCAGACTCTCGATGCTGATCTTATAAAGTTGTTTCAGGTGTACAGCTGTGTGCCAGAGTGGTCATATACAACATGCTGGGTTCTGCATTGCATTTTCTCTTGTCCTGTTCAAGTCAGGATTTTCTATTCTGACTGCAGCTATTTACGGTGATGTTCCTGTTTGTTGTTGGTCAATACTGATTGTTACTCTAGCCAATACAACAATTTGCTAACAATGCAGGATATAACCATCTCTTTACAGGCTTGTGTGTGCGTGCGCTCAGTGTTTTTTTTTTTTTTTTTTTCCCCTCCTAGTGAGAATTTCACATTGACTGTGCATGTGGATTGTTGAGAGGTTGGCCTCTGCTGCTGCTTTTTAAAATGATCTAGTGGAAGTCTTGATCCGTTAAGACATTTGTTGCTTGCTGGGAGATGTACACTGATGAGCTCCAGCCGTTTGATCTCTTAATTCCAAACTTGGCTTCGTCTAATGGAGATCAGCTCCTGCTTAGGGTGCACTTCTGTCAGACCTGAGCAGTTTTATTGCAGAGCTGCTGATCCCAGCCGAGCCAAGACAGGCGCATTCGCTGCCAGTCCTACCAGGGCCATATGCAAGATGTGATGGGGAGAGAGGGTGCTGATGACTAAACCAGACATGAGGAGAGATAGGAGAAATCCAGATAGGGATCTGGTAAAGGAGGGGGAGGAAGAGTGTGGCAGTTTGCCAACAGAGAGAGAGATGAGATGTGGAGAGACTCACTTTTTCTGTCAGGCGTACTATCACAGTCACTCGCATGCCTTGACAGAGAAATGAATGCTCATGTGATGACATGTTCAGGTGATAATGTCAAGAAATGTAGACTGAAAATTTCAAATTTTATTTTGCAGAATGATTCACTGGGCTGGACGCATCGAGAAGGAGCTGGAAAAAGTTCTGCAGCATGTCACTGGAACTCAGCAGATGAGATTGGTAAGATGACATCATGTTTACTTGTGACACTTTTTCTTACATTATTAACTAGGAAGATTGAACTGGGTGAGGTTGTACAACATAAACTCTCAGGTGTGTGTGTGAGGCATTGTTTAGTACTGCCAAAGGTTTTAATCTCTGAAAGACATTGTTTTAGCAAAGTGTATTCTTGAGACAGTTTCACCTTGAGATAATTTTTACTGTTTCCACTGTAAATCAGCTGTTGACTCAAACATTCCTTTCCTGACACGTCTAAATGCTTTAATCTAAAATCTCATACAATAGTTGTTTTTGATGTGAAGATGTACCTCAGGGGAATGATTTCAACAAATATTTCACTTTAAAAGTTAGAGAACTAAATGACAAGATGGATGCATTTTGAAGAATATGGTGTCGGTTGTTTGTGTGTGTCCTTGTATGACGCTGTGTGTTGAACAAGTGTCTGTCTTGTGGTAGAGCAGATGGTTGAGCAGAGTGTGATTGACACTGTTTCATCATATTTCTGCTGTGTGCGCATGCTCACCGTGCTTCCAGGGTTTGTAATGCACCCTGAGATGAATGCTTCATTATTGCGGTATGGGTGAGTGTGATTCATCCAGCCAGTACGATGCCTGTGGCGGCTTTAATGCTAGCAGTTGTGAGTGTGATGGCTGTTAGCATGGTGGCGACATTGATGGATCGCAGAGAGGAGGAAGTGAGATGACAGGGATCATGCTGGTGTAAAAGTTAATGGCCATTAGTGGATAGCAAGCGGATACTCACACTGCACGATAGAGGGAGGCAGATTTTTAGCACTCATCCAGTGTACACAAGACGTACAGTAAGAGAGGATGTTTACCCATCAAAAAGCTGGCTTTTTTTCCTCACTCTTCTTATTGAGCAAAGTTGCTATCTAGTCTTCAAGAATAATGTTAGACATAGATTCAAGGTGAAATCATAGTGTTGCTGTCTGATAAAAGTTCTGTATCTCCAAAATGTTGCCATTATAAAAACTGTGAGATAATTCAGTGAGGTTTCTAAGTGGGTTTGCGAGCATAAAAGGTAGAATCTCTTTTCAGCAGATAATGAAACATGTTTTTTTTTCTTTATCTAAAAGTCTAATAAAATCACTAAGCTTGGAGACTCATTGTTTTCACCGAAAAAAATCACAACATCCCTTCTGTACATCTGTTTTTCCATCTACTAAAAACATTTGCATTCTCTTGGTGGTTATCTTGATAGCTGGAATAATATTTTTATTTGTAAGATGTGGGAAAATAGGAGACAGTGGCCATCCCAGTTCCCCAAAGCACAAAGTGATGCCATGAAATTTCTTGTTTGGTCAGTCTGCAACAGTCTGCAATCCAAAGAAAGGAAGTTTACTGACATGTAAGGCAATTTGCAAGCATAAACAGCAGCTGTTTTGAATGAGAGGTGCTTTGTTTACAGCTTATACTTCCACATTCTAGCTCTTCTTCTTTCCCTTTCTAAATGGTGAATACAGATGCTGCCACCTGCTAGTAGGGGGAGTTATTTCTGTCATGCAGGCGCAGAACGAATGCGCTATTTGGCTATAGTCTGTGCGGTGTGCTCAAGTGTCACTTTTTCAACCCGACTGGCCCAGACAAAGCCAACGTGAGGCGGCATGGCAGTTGGCCTTCGTTGCTGTTGGTTCTTTCACCTCGGCTGAGTGCGTCTTTATCCTTAGAGTTAGGCCTTGCTTGTTTGGTTTAAATATATTATGACGTCTCTTGATTGCTTGATAAAATCTGGGACATATATAGCTAAATCATCCTTGGCTTAATGAGACCTAAAGCTAAGATGTGGCATTAAGTGCTCAGTGGGATTAAAGTTCTGTGGAAATCATCTAATTTACACTACAGATTGCTAAGGCTTTCTCTGTAGGCCAAATTCAAAGAAGTCGATCTCTCTCTAAAAATATTATCTCCATTCCAGTGACGTCTCGTGTAAGGTGTCCATGTGTATATGCTGGCCAGACTGTGTGCGCAGAACGGGTGTGAAAGAACATTTATCATGGCCCCAAATAGGAGTCGTCACAGGGTGTGCTAAATGGCCCAGCATGCCTAGAAAAGCCATTTTCTAAATGGATGCCTCTCTCTATACGTGTGTCTGATAGAAATCTTCCCAGGGCTATGCTGGTTGGTAACAAGATTGCCTCCCTCTGCGCCCCTTCCTCTTCATGCGCAGTTTATTCTCACAGACACAAAAAAATAATAAAGTGTGTGCAGATTATTTTAGAGTTTGTATTACATGCAAACAAACAAGGAAGTAAGTTGAATATAATGTGGTCTGTTCAGTTCCTCATTGATGGGATTTCATATTCTCTGCAAGCAAAGTAGCAGGTGAAAGAGAGAGGCCAAGACGAGGCAGCACAGAAAAATACATTTTGAATCAGTCAACTTAAAAAAAAAAAAAAAACTACACACACAGATGTACAATATTTTGATGTTTCATGTTGTACATACTGTGCCCAAGTGTTAAGTGTGTCCCAAAATAAATAAAACCAACAATATTTAATTGTTTGAAATCTTATTGCAATATGTTCTAAACCAGGTTTGGTCAAGATGCTCTTGTTCTGTGCAGGAGTGAAAGGAAGACAGAGGGTGAGTGATGTACGGTACTGGAATAGTCTGAAGTTTGAAACGGAAGAGTTCGGAGCTTGGATAGACAAGGGCAGTGGGCGGCATGTAGAGCAGAGGAGGAGGGTTTTTTAGAGGCAGAAAGGATGCAGAATGGCTTGACAATTGAGATGGATGCTCGGGCGGTTTTGTGCGTATATTTAGACTCAGACTACTTAAGATGGATAAAATGATAGATGGGCAGGATAAGAACTGGTAAATTTAAACGTGAGCAGACAGAAGCTGTTTTTAGTCCTTATCCTGTGTGCTGATGCAGTACATGGTGATGAGAGGTGGCGGTGGACACTGGTATTGTCTCCAGGCTTATTCAGAAGAGTTTTTAATGTGCACTAGGGGTGTGATGATACACTTAGCTCATGAGACGAGACAAGGCACCATACTGGGTTCACGAGAATGAGACGAGACGATATTTTAATACTGTCCTTAAGAATTCATAAATGACAAGATATACGATTGGAAAAATAGTCTTATATTTGACTAAAAGTCACAAAATGCAACACAATGCAGGTGCATTTTGAAATGTTTTAACCAATCATCTTGTAATAAATGTCACTGCAGTTCTACTTTCTGAGTATGAATTATCATATGCAATACAAGACAGAACAATATGCAAGCACTGTAAAAGGTTTTGCCACAAACTCATCTGACTGGCTTCTCTCCTGTATGATTTCACACCAGTCTCTTCAGACTTTATAACTGTGCATGAACTGTGCATGAGCGTCTAACTTCTAACTGAAGCTGTGCGTGTATGGGAAGCCCCTTTAGCATTAAATAGGTGGAGAGGACTTAGATTTATGATATCTGCAATTACATTTTGATTAGTAAGAGTTCCTCATTCAATGGGAAAACTAATTTAAGATATCTACAATTCAGTTCTGCCTGTCTGAAACTAATTAATGGGCAGTTAGGTAGTTTACTCCAGGGCCCACTTCAAAAGGTCAAAAGCTAAATCTGAAGGGTTGCAGCAAAGGAGAAAAAACAAACTTTGGCTTCACATATTTCTGAACGTCTTTCTAAGCTTAAACAAGATTTTCATTTCTTAACTGCTAAGTACCTTCTAACTACGGCTGTTAAATGAAAAAGAGTGGAGGAATAGTACAGTATTTCTCTCTGATGTGTGGAGTAGAAGTATAAAGTATCAGAAAATGGAGTTGTATTTACTATAACTGCATTTTGGCATTTTATTGATATGTTAATTGTTCATTAATAATTTAGTTTGTATATTCCTTTGAATGTGTTCCTTTTGGTCTCATATACGTTACTTGTATTTTCTGTAAGTCTGGGTGGAACCAGCCCCCACAGAAGGGTCTCAACTTACAGGGAGGTAGAGAGAAGGTCTGTTTATCATTGGTTATGCACATGGAATGAAAAAACAAGAAAGGCCCTCTCCCCTCTTAGAGAGGCTTTCCTCCTTAGAAGGTAGAAGTTGTGATGTGCATTTTCTATAGGCTAATGAAGGGTTTTTGTCTGTTTTATATAAACCTGTGACCACCGATGCTCTAAGATGAAAACCCAGCTATGCTGTTTTTCTCCTGCATTGCATTACAATATTTGGCAGCCAGTGAGACTTGTTTTGTTTTCAATTTCAAGAATAATTTAGGCAGTTTCTCTTGGACACAGTACCTGAGCTTATATACTTGGTTATTTTTCTGTGCTGTCTTATGCTCACATGCACGTAGAGTCGGGGCAGTTTCCTCAGCTTCAATTTATCCAGTTTCTTAAATGGTGACGCCATGCAACATATGTTCAACACTTTGAAATTCATTTCAATAAGAAGAGCCTAATCAGCATGAATAATTTAGCCTGGTGCACATGGCTGCTGCTAGCATTTTACAACTTTGCACTTCCAGGAGTCTGCCCCGCTTCCACGCGCCCTCTTCTTGCCGTTTGTTGCTTCTGATTACTGAAAACCTGAGAATGACGCACAGTTGGATCAATATACCCACAGAAGGAAGCAGGGTGGAAAGATGATTAATGGCTGCGGGATTCACCCAGTTCACTTTTCATTGGACTGCATGTGTTTTGCTCTCCTCATGTCACTTTTGCCCTTCACTCAGTGTGTGTGTGTGTCTGTCTGTGCTGTGTGGTCAGCACTGCATCAGTCAGCCTGCTGACCACATGCTGGCTGCTGGTTTATCTCAGGTCTGCACCGACCTTCTTGTCTCTAGTTTTTCCAGTGCGCATGTGCAGTGTCCTGACTTCACGTGCGTGTGTGTGCATTTGCTGAAGGCTCTGGCTCAGTTTGATCAGCACAGCTGTGTTTCCAAACTTGAACGAGGTGCTTTGTTAGTAAAACACATTTTGAAATGTCTCTTTTACTTGTTCAAACTGTCCTGCCGCGTCCTGTAGAAAGAAGCTTGG